TAATAAAGGATCCAAGTTCGTAACTATGACACCTTATTTATAATTTAAATATTTTTATGTTTATGTATTAGAATTGCATTGTATGTTTGTTATTACATCAGAATAATGACAGAACCACTTTTTGCTGCATAGGGAAAACTTGTGCCACTCCTTGGTGCACAAATATTGATTAATTCAGGAACTGAAGAACTACTAAATTGGGATTAACTGAGGAAGCTTAATTCCACACAAGAAAATCTCCTGTGAACCCTAAGATGGTTTTACTTTCCTTTGCTCTTCCTTCTGCCTAAAATTAAGTATGTTTGGACAATATATGCATAGCATCTATAGAAATACTTTCACAAGGTGAAACTCCTTAATCAAATCCTCAAATCTAGATTCTCTGCTGTCATGGTAGCCGGGAGTGGTTACATGTGTGGAAGGAAAAGAAATTCCCAAATTCAACTCAGGTTTGTGCTTTTTGCTTTTCAGTGGCTCGAAACTTCTGTAATACGTGATATCAATAACTACAGGTAGGTGAGTGGCATAAGCTGTGACACTTGCTCATAGTCAAGAGCAGATTACATTTCCCATCTCTTCCCCAAAAGAGTTGACTGCATGTGCTTATGATGAACATATAGTTTTCGTTCTTCATAATGAAAAATTACTAACAGACATGGTTAATGCCTAAAAAAGAACTTTTCATTACATTCTCGCTTGCATTGGTGCTTCAGGAAAAAAAAAAGTTGTGCATGTACAATTTTGTACATTAAATGAAGAGCAGCATTCTCAAATCACCTGAAACTAAAAGCTTTAATTTCTATACCCCAGATAACTTGGGCACTGGAGAGCTAAACTTTAATGCTCTGAATCACCCTGAAAGAGCTTTTCCTTTTTTTTTTTTTTTTTTAATTTATTGGCAAGTAGGAGGAAAGTCTTCATTGGGCTAAAATTAGCTCCTATAAAGTAACTCCTGCTTCCCCTAAGAACCACCAGTGTACATGCTTCTACTATTACAGCACCTAAATACTGAGAAAGTTGCCTAGAAAATATGACAAAGCCTCTAAAGTGAAGTACATAGACTAGTTTTGTGCATCAGTAGCATACAATAAACATTCAGTCTCCTACATACTGTCTAAACATCTGATTAAACACCTGATTAACTTTTCTAAAATGCCTGATATTAAAAATATTCCATCATTTCTGGAGTACTCATTTGCTCACTTGCAGCATCATCACCTGAATGGTAGACAAATTGCAATTAAGTAATGAAGCTTCTGTCAGGGTGCTACTAAAAACTATAAATTTTCAAGTCCTAACTCCACATTTTTGAATGGGATTTCTCCATCAAGAACTTAACTTCTCCATATCATGGTATATATAAAGCAAAATAAATTCTTCACTATTCTTGTCCTTTCTGCCACTTCTTAACTTAGCTATGTTGATTTTGCTTTTAAAATACATTAAGGCAGGATTATATTCACTCTAGTTGTAAACTTAAAACCTGAAGGCCAAAAGATAATTTATTTTGGTCTGCTCTGACACCATTTATGGGCAACACAAGTTTCCCTGGTTTGAATCCCCAAATCTGTCCTGTTTAGTCAATATAGTCACTGCAGAAAGTTCAGACTAACAAAAAAAAAGAATGCTGATTTCATAGCAGTTGATAAATAGGGAAGCCAGAAACATTTATTTTAATACTACTACTACTACTACTACTAAAAAATTAAAAATATTAAAAAAAAAAAAAACACAATAGTTTTCCATTTCAAAAACGAGTCTCCAGGTCTCCAATTTTCAGTTATTTCAGTATGAATTATGGTCTACTCCTTGACTACATCTTTACTACCATGGCATGCTTAATTGTTTCCTGATCCTGTGTGTCTATTAACCACTTATTACCTCTTCCCTTGATTTTAACTTGGGCTCTCTCCAATTCAGGGACTCTAGTGAAGAGTCTTAAACTTCTGGCACCAGTCTAAACAAGCTCCCTCCTGAGGCTCTATGAACAGAGAGTACAGAGGTTCTTCTGCAGGGTGATACAGGGAAGGAGTCTAATTAACTTTTGCCTGAAAAGGAGACTATCTCTCTACACTGATCAAGGAACGGCTTCAGAGATATTAACTGTTTCACTTCAGCAAATTCCCTCTGTAGCAGCTAAGTACCTAAAGTACAGCGGTGACTCCCACTCCGTTTTTGCATTTTTCTTTGTGTACTAAAAGGGTTTCTGCTCTGCAATTTAGGCTTTAAAGGAAAGAAAAAGAACCCAACCCATATTTCTCCTATAAGTAATTATAAGAAATATTAAAAAAAAAAAAAAGACACAGTGAAATTGTACTAATATTTTTAGAGAAATACCAGAAAGAAGATGAAAATCATTCACTGCCCCTCTGAAGTGTTTTCTCTCTTACTGTTTCACGAAGCCCTTATGCAGCAGAGTAAGTCAAAACCATGTGAAATGAAGGTCTGTGAACTCTGAAAGCACCCGGTCACCTCAGCAACACACAGTGCCCTTCCACAGGCCCTGTGCCAGGAGCATTTGTGGCTTCCAGCAAATTATAGCCATAATGGTGGCACTTAGAGGCAGAGACTGTCTGCCTGCCTGCCCGCAACAAGGCTCTGAATACGCTAGGTAACGGGCTGAAGCTGTATTTGCTCTGGTGCTATGGGAGGAAGTGGGTATCACACAGCCACAGCTGGTCATCGGGTGCTGTATCCAGAAGCAAATAAGAGAACAAGATGAAAAGAGAAGAAAAATGAACTTCAGCAGAATATATGAGTTAAATTTAAGACCAAGTGAAACTAATTAGGAGAATAAAGTATCAGTATAATTACGGTTCCTCTGTCCCCCCACCCCCGCCAGAAAAAGCATGAAAATAAAGCTCTGTTTTCCTAGCAATGTAATGTTATAAAAATGTAATATATCACCAAATACCAAGTAACATATCTTATTGGTAAATAAGAGAAGCAACTCTGTTCATTTACTCCCACACTGAGAAAGAACTGAACGAGATACTTTTTTTGTAGAAAATCTTTACTTTTTTTTATTCACAAAGGTACGTATGCCACTTAGAAAAGTAGAGCAACCTGATTCAAAACAATAACAAATATTCAGTCTTTAGAAGCTGAATGAGATAAGAAATAACACGATATGCTGACCTACACAGTACCCCATCAAGAGGCAAATTCATTATTTTTCTTATTTAAAACAACACTTTTCAGGCATTAGATAATTCTCACAGCCTCTCCCGTTTATAAATAGAGATGCTGAGGAAGAGGTAATGGGTGCTTTGCCAAATCATGTCCTATCTAAACAGTGAACAAAGCAAAAAATCTCAGGAACTCTTTAATTGCAGCCTGCACTCAATTCTCTGAATCTCTTGTAAGGAGTATAGAACAGAAGCCAAAGTTTAGAGAATTGCTGGTGATGTTGCAGACAGAAGGAAACATTTGCCTTCAGGGCAGACACATTAAACTGATTGTGGGATGACTCCAAGAAGACCACAAGAGCTTGAGTCATCCTACAACTTCAGTCACATGCCTTCTTCACAGGAATACCCTATAAAGCAGGGGAGGCAGAGAGGAAAAACTAACCACCTTCTCTCTCCTGGGCAGATGGCATTGCAGCCACTTAGAAGAATGCAGGATATTACAGCTCGGTGGAAAAGGATACTCCTGGGTCAAAAAATAAGGAGAGTCAATGTACGTATGGTTCATTCATCTGGCAGAGACTTGCCATACAAGAGTGTCTGTCATAGACACCTATTTAAGAATGGGATAAGCTGTGCTCTAGTGATAGGTCTGTCTTTTTATTAGCAAGATGATGAAAGGATAACCTTTGACTGAATGCTTAAATCCAAATATCTAAGGCTAGATGAGATTAAAAGTTAAAACCGTTTACATTTTTGAGGATATATATAACAATATATAAATAAAGATGAATGTATATATTACAGTCATAATTATTCAACCTATGGTCAAGCTCTGTTTCAAAACTATACACAATTACATATGTTTTATTAGTAGGGGTATTTCTTCTGGTCAAAAGAAACCCCCACCTGTGACAACCTCAGACCAGAATCTGCTAGATCTCTCTCCTGCATGCCCACACTCTCAAATGCATTTAAAAATGACACTGCAGCCATAAGGACTCAAAACATAAAGATAACTACCAAACTTTTGAATGATCAGTCTGAAAAGAGCTTTCTAGGATGGCATATTTTCCAGAAAAGTGCAACAAAATGTGGGGTAATAAGCAGGGAGAAGTTTACTTGGTAACCTACATTATTATCTGAGTTAATTCTTTCTCTTTTTTCCACATTCCTCATATCACAGGTAAGGGTGGAAACTGGCTACAAATATAAATTAATGTGAATTCCGAAATAGCAGCACATCAATACATCACAAAGAAAACCTACCTAACGTACATATTATAACTTAAGTTGATAAATATTTTAAGACATACTTAAACAGAAAATCAGATTATTAATTAAACAGTGAGGTTATATCTAAAAGTACTTTTTTTTTTTTCCTTTGAGTGAGGGTGAGAGAGAGCAAATGAACGCTATTTGGCTAATCAACCAAACTGAAGACTTTTAACATAATGCACGCATTTCTTTTTAATTTTGTTAAAGAAAAAGATTATAAAAGAGTATATCTGAGAAAAAGTATTATCTTTTTCCTGTGAGATGAAGTCTGACACAAGGAATGGATGGCATATCCATAAGGCAACCAAGCAGAAAAGATTAAAAAGCATAGCTTTGATAAGGTACCTCTACGTACCTTTATGGTCTGTAAAACCATAATCAGGCTATAACAGAAGACAGCAAATGCATACAATTAGTGTTATATATGTATATATAATAGGAAAGGGAAAGAAGGAAAAATATTTTAAAAGCTGTAATCTACCTTTTGGTGGTTCTTTCAACCCTTTTTCTTCTATCCCCATATGGGGGGAATCTTTATTCTTCTGTCTGTTCTCTTTCTACAAGCCTGGTTTAAAAACTGATTGCATTTTTCCCCCCTGATCTCAGCATGCTTTGGATCAGACCTTACTCTAACAGACACAGGCTAATTTGTGTGAGACATTTATATTATCTTCTTCCTGCTGCAGTCATGTGCAAAAGTTATATTTCAGTTATATTTGATGGCTTCAGTTAATGAAGAATAGCCTCAGTTCATTTTAACTTATGCCCAAATATACCAGCTGGATGTAATATTGTGACTGAGCTTTCATTATAAAGATGTCATGATAAAGATGGCCAACAGTTTTTGGAGAGAAATTATCAGACTTCCAGATCCCATGTTATCCGCTCATTGTCCCATGGCTGAAAATATCAACAACAAAAAACATGTTCTCATTTTCTAACAGAACTCCCAGAAGATACAGAGCAAACATCTGCAAGATAATTCAATCAGTTTAAAAACATTAGTATCTTCCAAGTTTGTACTGCACAGCCTTTTAAAATCCAGTCTGACAAACTTTTATAACTTACTGGGTGATAATTAATCCTCTAATTTTGTAAGAAAAGCTTAAAGAAATCAAGCCAAAGGGACAAAATTGAAGGTAATGTGGAAAGTGGGAACGAAGGAGAGAGCAAGAATCTTAAAATCTGAATTAGAGCTGTTTAAACAGGGATTAGGAGCTTCGGTGCCTGCTAACATTAACATAAATTTCCCATTGCTTTGGGGCAATCAGGCCCAGATGCTTGAAGCTTTCTCAAAATAATTCAGCTATCTGCAACATACTGAATGGGAAACTAAAACATCAGAAATGTGATGGGAAAAAAAATGAACTCTTCAGGGTTCTTAACTTGCTTGTGTCTTACAACCATTATAGATATTATTCTTAGCAAATAGACACAGATAATTAAATCTCTGACTCCCTTGCCAGGTAATGGGTAAAATGACACCCAGAATTTGTTGTAAGAAGTAGAAATAAAACTAAAACTATACAACTCTGAGGATGCTAAAGCACATACTTGACATATCAGTTTGCCTACAAAGAATGTATGGATAATTCCTATTGAATACAAACTCTTTTCTCCTGTGAAAAATAATTAATGTAAGACGAACTAGTAGAGGGCCTGATAATGTTTGCTTGGTATTAAAAGTGCTGGATGACACTCCAATGCAAGGGTTTAACTGAGTATTTCCGTTAATAATTGTTGCAACAAATGTTCCTATCGGTAGATACAGTCAACCAAAAATAAAATGAAATCTACCCTTTTAAAAATAGTCTGCCACAAGATTTTACAAAGAGAAGCGCTGCTTAGCAATTAGAAAATGAGTTTCTTATATAAAGAGTATACATTATAAAGACAAGACATGGCTCTCACACCTGTTAAAGTTATCTGAAAGACCTTATAATTTTGTATCAAAAAGTTGAAGAACATCAAGAGACTAATGCAGGAAATTACTGTATGCATGTTATTAGGCAAAAAAAAAAAAGGAACATTCACTTTGAAACAGTGAAGTCTTCTGTTCTGAATGTTTATTACCATTAACATGTCACGTCAAGAATTATTTCTGCTTGGTAAGCTAAAGTACTTTCATGAAGAAAACACATGGTATGTAGGTTAAGCAGCAGCTTCAAACCTCTTGAATCTTGTGCATGCTCATTCTGTTAGATTTTGTCATCAGTGCTCAATAAATTAGCTATCATATATATGATGAGTCAAAGAATTAAAGAACATCAGCTCTGACTGTATTGATGGAAGCACTGTATGGAAGAGTTGAAACTGAACCACATTACTTTAAGGAGATCCATCTGTGAAAAATCTGTTGACCCCACCAGCTAGGGACACAGACTTCTATGAGCTCTCACAGTTGCCAAGCTTTGGAACACAAGTAATAAATATTCCCAATAAAAACTGTCATTTCAAAAAGAAGCCAATATTCTGTGCCACTAGAATTATTTAGGACGAATGATGAATATAGGGACATACTGCTGTAATGATATTTTGGGGAAAGTTTGTCCCTGTTTTTCACAGGTTCATGTAATCCATTAACCTTGTTTAAATAAAATTCTGGTATTTAGATCACATTTATGATAACAAAATTTTAGGAGCTTTGAGAGAAAGCAGCTACAGTATACATTTCAGATTCTTTCCCCCACCACACACAATCAGCTTTTTGATTTTCAGATAGTATTTTATAGCATTTTTTTCCGTGAGCTCCAAGACCTAACACTAAGGGGCACCAGAGAACTGAACTGCATCTGTTCAGATCCACCAGGAACCAGCTGCTGCAGCTAACATTGTAAGTTATTCACCGTGCTAGGTGGAGAGGGAATGGAGCTTTGGGGGAAACATAGCAGGCGAAACAATAGTTCTGCATGACACATTCTCTGTTACAGAAAACTGTCACTGGAAAAGCAAGGACGTGCTCATTTCTGGAATGCTGAATCTTATAGTTTATCACCAGGTGTTGCAAAAGAACTCTCACTCCAGACAAAAGTTAGGAAATGTGTGAAAATAATGCATGATGTGAAAATGGATTTTTTTGAGAAGCGAACTATATCTAAAAAATACAAGCAGATTGACTTAAGAGTACATTTGCTTCGATCCTAGACAAGTGTAAACAGAGGAGCACAGACTTCGGAATTCAATCTTACATTAAGTTTCAGAAGATCTGGAGATAAAGACTATGACTAAGGAGATAAAGAACATTTCTAATTTCCAGTGGAATGCAAAGTTGCCTCTCATTTCCCCAACAGTACAAAAGGAAAGCAGTATTTTAAGAAAATATGTAAGTTAAGCCTGTTTGCAGGTGTGGACTTTAAAAGCAACCTCCTTCACCCAGAGTTTGCCTATCAAATAGAGAATAACTGAGTGGCCAGTGCTACTTATCTGAATAGAGCAGAGTCTTAAAATTTTAGACCTGATGTCAAGAACCTGCTTATCCCAGTTGGGTTTTCTTTCATCCTGTTCCAGTCCCTCTATTGCACCACAAAATATATAACCAGGCAAGCAAAGTATAATTAAATGACACTGTATGTCAGAAAAGTAAAGTTCTTCTGATTCTCTTTTAAAAGCTTGGTCATGGTCTTGTCCCAGAACAGAATTACAAAAATGCAGATAGAGTACAGGGCCTGGTGTGTCAAATCATTGTAATCAAAGTTCCAAAACCAAAATTAATAATGTACCATTAGCAGATGGTGTGAGCTGATTTGACTGAGAATTGCAAACATGCATTCTGAAGTAAGTACTGTAGACTTTTCCTTACAATATTAGCACTTATTTTTGTGTCTTTAAATAGTCTATAAAAACGAAATCCAGAGATAACTTCTGTTCAGTGTAGAATTTTACTCACAGATCTTTTAAGGCCAGATGAGACCATGATGATAAAGAGCTCTGACCCCCAGCATAACACAGGGCATAGAACCTCTCTCAGCAATTTCTCTCTCAAGTCTGCGTCTTCTGTTTGAGGTATACCATCTCCTTTTGAAAGACATCCAACCTTGATTTGGAAATTCCAGCACTTTCCTTGGTAAGCTCACCCCTCACTTAACAAGAGCTGCAGTCAAAAAATGTACAAGTTTTGGCCTCCTCTGATAGTTTTGTCTCAGATTTCTTCCCACTACATGTTTTGAAGCTAAATTAGAGAGCTGTCAGCGATGTTTGTTAAGAAATAAAACTTTCTCTAAACAAATAATGGAGAAAAGCCACCATTTGGGCTACTTTATGGACCATGTTCAATGGCCATTAGCAGTTCTAATTGGTCCCTTACCCCAGGGTGTACAAAGCTTCTGGACCCCAGTCCAGTGGAGAAATTCAAATACATGTCTTGGTTATGCTATGGCCAAATAGCATACCTTATGTCCTGAGAGGAAGACCTTGTAACTCCAGGTCTTCATCTGATAATGTTCAACCTCTAGCTAACATCTTCTCTTGTCTCACATGGGATCCAAGCTTTTCTGTTGGTGTTACATTAAGGTGTGTCAGCAAGCAAGATGCAGGCAACTTAGCAGTGACAAAACAATATGCTTATTTAAGCAAGGGACCCTGCTGGTTGGTACCAAAAAGAGATGGATCTCTGTTGTGGATCTGAATGGAGCTCATCTGCTATTCATCACTCTAGCAGGAGAGTTAAGCCTGCTCCCTCTGCCTCTGTCTTCAGGCAGTGAGATCTGAAGAGTGTAACACAAAAGTCTGCCAGTATTTACCCAGTTTGGCCAGGGCTTTGCAAAACTTCTCTTGGGGGTACAGCTTATGGTTTATGGGCATTATGCTTCCCAGCTAGCTGGCTGAAAGGCAACTGTGTTCAAGCATTTTAATGTGGGGCCGAAACTTCCCAGGATCCAGCGCCTGGAGTTTCATATACCATTTGTGATTTACTCTGGCAAGGACAAGACACGGCGATAGAACGCTCCAGCCACCATCCTGTGCTGGCATGGGCCAGAAAGGGAAGGAGACCTTGAAGGAGAGGCTAGAGGGTGGTACCGACCAGTCTCTTCGGTGCGACAAGTAGAAAGAGTTGCACCGAGGAAGCCCTTTGGAGGGCCCATGTGGTCCCCAGTGCTTCTCCCACCTCCTCCTCCTCCTCAGGCGGGAGGAGGCAGAGTTGTTGCTGCTGCCAATGCGCCAGGATAGAGATCTCGGCGCGGGAGGAGATGACGCAAAAGGCACAGCTCCCCCCAAAAAAGTGTTTCTCCAGGACGAAGATGGCGGCAACTTAGCCCAGGGGCCCAAGATGCCTGTGCTCGTCGGGGGCCCCCAGCCAGGCAGTTCCGCCCCGTGCGCCCGGGGACACCGCGCCCGGCGGCAACAGCGGCGGCAGCCGCAGACCATTGTCACCAGCAGCGGCGGCGGCCCCGGCAGCCTCCTCCTCCTCTTCCTCTTCCTCCTCCTCCTCTTCAGCATCCTCGGCAGCGCTCCGGGAGCCCTGCAGCAGCGTCTCTCCAGTTAGAGCGGAGGGGGGAGAGGAGAAAGAGGAGACGGAGACAGCGGTGCAGGCATCTGTGCCGCGGCTCGGGGTTGAGGAAGAGGAGAGCCGCGGCGGCGGGGAGGAAGAGGAGGCGAGGAGTCCTCCCGGAGCGGTCCGTCGGCAGCGGGGGACGCGGCATGCAGCTGTCCGGGGGCAACGGGCTTTTCTCAGGAGGGAGATGGGGAGCTGCGATCTGACCATGCCTGGGTGAGAGGGGGTAAGGACCAGCCGCGCAGCCCCGCCACCACCAACTACCACCACCATCTCCTTCCTCCTCCTCCTCTCTGCGTTATTGCTCTTATCTTTTCCACGGCACTCCGCGTTGGATGGACTGGGGCTACTTCGTGTGGTGAGACCAAGGCAGAGTCACTGGTGAAACCCAACAATATCTCAGAGGAAGAAAAAGAAGAAAGAAAGAAGAGGGAGAAAGAAGGGGGGGGGGGGGGGAGGTGGGGGGGGGGGTAGAGTAGAAGAGGGAGAGAGCGAGCGAAGGAGCGAGAGAAGGGGAGAAGGGAAGGCAGGCAAGAAAATACCCCAGTCTTTTAAGTCAATGCATATTGTGGTGACACTGGCAAAGAAGCCCTCACGGTGGAGTCGGCCAGGGCTGTGCGTTCCCAAAATATGACCAGGGGTGCTTGGATGTGCAGTCGGCAGTATGATGACGGCTTAAAAATCTGGTTCGCACCCCGGGAGAACGAGAAACCCTTCACGGATTCAGAGAGGGCTCAGAAATGGCGACTGTCCCTGGCATCGCTCTTGTTTTTTACAGTCCTGCTCTCTGATCACTTGTGGTTCTGCGCCGAGGCCAAATTCACGGGGACCGGAGAGAAAGAGCAACCGCCGCACGAGAAGCCAGAGCCCGCGGAGCCGGAGCTGCTGGCGGGCATGGGGGAGCCGGCGCCCCCCGCGCCCCGGCTCCTCGCCAACCCCTCGCCCTCCCTCCCTCCTTCCCCCGGCAGCAGCGGCGGTGGCAGCAGCGGCACCGAGCACGGGCACGACGAGGCTGCTTTCCTGGGGAACTCCACCGCCAGGCCCCTGGAGACGTGCCCCCCCCATGGCTCCTCGTCCCGGCAGTGCTTCAGCGTGGGGGACGCGGAGGAGCTGTGCCGGCAGCCGGGGGGGGGCGGGCGACCGCGGAGCGCGGGGCAGAGCCCGGCGCCCGGCTGGGACCTGACGGATTTTTACCTTTCCTTTTGTAATTCTTACACGCTTTGGGAGTTGTTCGCCGGGTTGTCCAATCCGGACACTTTGAACTGCAGTCTGGATGTGGTGCTGAGGGGGGGAGGCTCCTGCAGCCAGTGCGTCCAGGCTTACCAGCGCTACGACCAGCACGCTCAGGAGAAATACGAAGAGTTTGAGGTTATGCTCCAGAAATATTTACAGTCGGATGAATACTCGGTGAAATCGTGTCCTGAGGATTGTAAGGTAGGAGCCCCTGCTGTGTTTCCTGTCCCTCGCTGGCGGGCTGGCGTGCCTCCCTCGTCTGTTGTGGCTGCCGTGCTGCTTGTTTTAGCTGCGGTCTTTGCCCCTGGCGCCGCCGACCCTAAAAAGGGTGCAGTCGGGAGCTGCGGAGGGTGTCGAAGGGGAGCCCCCGCTAGCGCATTGCTAAAAGGGAGGCAGAGAGAGGGGGAAGCTTGGAGGAAAAAAAAATAAAAAAGAAGTGATCCTTCGTCCTCTGGGACTGCAGCACTGGATTTCCCCCTCCTCATGAATATGCGATTGGCTCCGGCTCGGCTGCCGGCTTCCAGCAGGTTGGGGTGCGGCTTGGCGGCAGGCAGCGACTGGGTCTGCATGCCAATGAGCGGGGCCAAGGACGCCGGCCTGTGTAGGGGCCGCCCGACGGCTCTGCCCTGCCTGCGGGCCCTCCTGGACCAGAGACGCGGCGGGGTCGGGGATTGGCCGGGGCCGGGGCGGCGGTGGCGCGGTTCCCAGAGGACGGGAGCCTCGTCCTCCCGCGGCCGCCGAGGTCGCGCACCGACTGCTCGGGAGGGGTCCGTTCCGGGTGGCCCCAGCGGCGGCGGTGAGTGGTGCTGTGGAGCAGGGAAGCTCCTGGCCACCTCGGAAGAGAGGAACGGGACCGTTTTCCAGGCGCTCTGCCAGAATCTCTGAAGTTGGGAAAGGCTGGAGGACGAGAGTGGATGCCAACGAGCACCGCGGTAGTCCTTGGTTGGGAGGTGGTGGTGACAGTGTTTCAGTGAGCCGCGGCCGTTCTCCTTGGTGCCACTCATGACCTCTCGGAGAAAACTAGAGGTTTTTCTTTTCTTTTGTTAGAAGGAAGTGTCCCACTTTGGCTCTTTGTAGTTGTCTTCTCTCTACTTTTGCACAAGATTAGTTGGCCTATCTCTCAAAAGAGGAAAGGGCAGGAAAAAAGTGTCATTGGTGCCATAAAATAAGTATCTGCACGCTTTCCGGCCTGTATTTTTGGGTATTGGTTGAGAGGTGGACCAGGAGTATGATTTCTGCTCTGAACTGGATTGTAGCAACCACTGTAGCATTATGTTAACTGCATGTCAGCCGAATCCTACTTTAGCAGTGGAAAACGTAAGTGCATACAAATCTCTGCTGTGAACAGAAGGCCTAGCAGTACCTCTGTGCTTTGTAGCTTCATCTGGGCCTTCTGAAATCATTTCATGGTAATAGTACTTGCCTAAAGAATACCATTCACCAATAAGTTGGTGTAATTTGCACACATCTTTGCCAGAAAAATTAACCCACAATCCCTCCAGGAGCTGAAATACCATGTTATCTAATTCGATAAAGTAGGAAAGTTGCTGTATATAATTACCCTTTTTTAAACCAGACAAAAGTGAAGTAGTTTCATCAGTAATTTTGAATTACCGCTTTCTAGGTTATAAAATGTGTGTATACACGCTTTATATATATTATGTACTTAGTTACTGATAAAATGTGTTTTATTTCCCGAGTGAATTGGATAAGTAAAAAGAGTGTAGACTGTAAATAGATGTCTACTACTGGAAGGACATTGTTTCCATTTCAGTGGCTCTTTAAGTAGAAGCTGACCTACTACTCTGTGTTGCCAAATGGGCAACATCTATATGCTTTAAGTGATTTTTTTTGTATCACAGTTTAGTCTGAGTGAACTTCACCTTGAAGTGTGGAGTTACTCTACAGTATAATGTGGTGTAAAAAGTGTTGAAAATTAAAAGAACAGCAAGTGTGCACTGTGTAACAGTTTCCCCTTCAGAGACTGAATAACGAAAAATACTTGTCTAATGATGGGGAAAAAGGTGTTGACATGAAAACATTGTGTGAAGCATATCAATCAACCATACAAATGCAGTGCCAGTGACCTACAGTTCTTCGGTTCCGGGTGCCGGACGGTATTGCTCTACGTTTTGAGAATTCGGCCAACCAGTCTGTGTTAAAAATGAAAGGCTGTTCCAGCAGGGTAAGGAAAAAACCTCCAAACAAGCCCAACCCGAGAGTGCGTACAGTTAGGTGTTCCCTCCCTCGGCCCGGGGCACGGCGTTGTGAGCGCTGTCCAATGTGCTGAACGGCGTCAACCACAACCCGTGGCTACGCTGGAGAGTGGCCGTGCTCTCTTCTATCTCCGTCTCACCTTCGTGCTCCTCGGTCCCCCTAGAGCCTTCTGATTCATTCTGGTGGCTGAACAAGTCAAGCGTTTAGCAGGTCCCGCTGTCTGATAGCTCTGTGTGTTGATGTGCTTGCATCTGGTCTGCCCTGAAGTGTGTATGGGTGAAACTAGAAACTTACCATGAACACTTTGTGACTGTGCAATGTTCTGCTGGTCTTTCTGGTGTTTTATGCATAATCCATTTATAAAACTCAAATCAGGAAAATAACTTTTTATGTAAGTATATACTTTTTTTTGACCTTTGGACATTAGATTTTGATTAGCTTAAGAATCAGAATAGAAAATAACTTGACATCTGATTATGCGTTTTAAGTACGCACCATTTGGTTGGTTTACGAGGTGAGCTGCTTTTTCTTTTAAACAAAATGCTAAAAATACTTATGTTAGTCAGTAGTGCTAACCTGAGTGTAGCGCTGGGTTAATACAATGAAAGTCTTGTTAAATAATCTATTTCTGTTAAAGATATCTTGAGTATAATGGGAGGGTGGCTGCATTTACAGAAAGAGTGAGCTTTTAATGCAGTTGACCAGTTATTGGTGATGAGAAAGTCAGTAAAATTTACACCAATAACAGTCAACCTAAACCTTGCCATTTGGTGTTACTTTCCCCTTCTTCAACTCTCCCCACCACCATCTCCCACCCTCGACACATTTCTCACAGTGAAGAGTGAAGACCATGGGGATTTCACAGTCCAGCAAGTTACACCTTTCCAGAAAATAGTATTGGTTATAACAAATAGTACATATCAAGTTACTTTGATGTACGAGGTTAAACCTCAGACTTTATATTTTCATTCCTTTATCTAACACTGTAAGAAAATGAACTTTACTTTCAAATTATTCTGTGCTTCACTACATGTATTCTGATCTCTGAAGAATATTTTAAATAAATTGCTTTGCATTGCAGAAATTTGCAGATGGGAGTTGTTTGGGTTATCAGTTCACATTTAGTTATCCTGCACGGTGGGATTTGGTTTCAGTTTTAATATATAAGTATACTCGCTCTTTATTTATTTATTTTTTTCATTTTTAAAGAATGCCATCCTGGTGTTACTATTAAACTTGTTATTGAGTTGCATTGGGATTTTTGAAAATTTTGTAGAAAATGCTAAGAATTTTGAGTTTAGAGCATTTGGAAAATGACTGGGTTTGATAGTTGCAATGAACATGCGTATGCATTTTATATTGTTAGGATGACAGTAGACTTGTGTGTTGTTTAGAAGTTTGGAATATCAGTGTTTTCTCACTATAAATCCATCTTCAACTTATTTCTTTAAAATACCTTTCAAGTCTGATGTCTTTATATCTTGTTTTCTGGTCCTGATAGCCATATGTCAGTAATGGCTAAACAATAACTGTAAGGTTTTGAATTTGAATGCATTCCATATTCAACCAGGTGACATGATAAAGTGTTGTAGCCTTAGTGAATCACTAAAGTAACAGAGTAACTGAAAATCTGGATTTCTAGTTTTCTATTTGAAATTGAATTCAGATTTTTTTTATATATTTATGAAATTTTGCTTTTGCATATTACACAGTTATGGTTATGTTTACAGAGATTGTTCTTGGCAATATCCATAATTTCTTGGTTTCCAGAATACCATTTTTACATGCGGTGTGACACAGTACTGTATTCAGACAATTAACAGAGAACTGTATTGGCTTGATGTTGGAAGACACAGTTCCTCGTAATGACTTAGCTTTCTGTCAGGGGAAATACTCAAGTTCTTGTTCTTAAGACAGCAGGCAATTGCTCTGTGGAATAAAAGAAAATTCTGGCTACCTCTGATTAAAAGTGGGTCAAATAACTAAGTAGGACATATAAATGTAAAGATTTTTAATTTTTATGGTGGTGTTTTTTTTAATTTATTTTTTTAAGAGATGGAACTTAGGCCTTTATGAAAAGTATCAGAGGCCAGAGCTTTCTTGGCAGATGTGTTTATTAATGCTTGACCATAACATCAGTTACTATTTTTCGGGACTGGTTTCTTTAACCCAGTGAAAGTTGCAAGTGTTTAAAATGTGGCCTTCCTCAGTGCTAGTTAAAATATTGAAATGTGTAATTCAGGTAAGCTCATTATAATTAAAATAACATTAAATTAATTCTGTTTTCCTCCTAGAATATCAAAGGAGAAAAATAAAACCATACTAACTCTTTTTATGTCAACATTGCTGAAGAGTGAAATTTAGCTGACATCTTAGGTGCTCAACACATACACACAGACCTTTTTTCTCTTCTTATCAGGAATTAAATATCATTTAGTAAATTACGATTTGAGGTCTATGATATTGGTATAAGAAATATGTAAGAGCATAGCTGAGTTATACTGCTATTTGGTTGGAAACATGCATATCAGTAAAGGGTTTCATCACCTAACATGGATGATATAGTCGATAGAAATATAGTTCTTCTGTTACTAGTGATTTTTGGGGGAGGGGAGAATCAGAGAACTGTGTCCAACTGCTTTTATTTGAGTAAGAGGATGATTGAAACTTATTTAAAACAATTAAAACCACATTTGTTCTCATTTATGTGAAAATATCAAACCTTATATGAATCATGACTTTTCCAAGAACTTTTTCCTAAACAGCATATGTAGTCTAATTAGGTTTTGATTTAAACTCTCAGTTAAGCTGGCAGAAAAGAGCAGATGAGAAATATGAAACCAAAATCTCAAGCGATAAAAGAACCCTTCTGTTACAAAAGGTCACATAGACCAGCATCTGCTACAAAGTTAGACATTTCAATTGCATATCTTAATCACGCAATATTTCTGTTATATGCAGAAGTGATAACCTAAGCTAATCAG